TCTCTCTCTCTCTTTCTCTCTCTCTCTCACACACACACACACACACACACACACACACAAGTGTAACAATGTATATCTTCATGTTCTAGTGGTAGATTCATTCGATTGTGCTCATCCTATGGACATACACACATAAACAAACTTGCAGGGAAGAGAATGACATGAATACAAAGTAGAGGAACAACGACAGGCGAGAACGAAGAGGGCGAGACGGCAAAACTCCAAGCATCGGGACAGGCGGCTGACCTTCACGACGAGCTTCTCCACGGTGCAAGCAGTTGGAGACGAGTGTTTACTGCATCCATGTCCGACTGTAAATGCAGCAAAACCCCAAGGCTGACGCTCCAAGAATGAGTATAACAATGACACTGATAGTTGTAGATATTTCTTATGACTGTTTGAAATGGTTTAATGAGGCCCTAACACTGTAACTTTTGCACTTATTCATGAAGGTGATTGCCATCAGATGCAGTCATGTCCGACTGTAAATGCGGTCAAATACATTTACGATAGAGTTATCGTCTTCATCTGATAACAATGCTCGGTCATTATCGCTGCATCCAGACTGAAAAATGCCTTAAACACCCTTATAAGGGTATTTGCAATTGTTTTTGTAGGTCACATAGGTTATTCATGTGGCGACAGATGGGACATGGTGAGCCCATTTTTTTTACGGTTGCACCTGGTTTCCAGTGGTTAAAATGATAATGGTGTTTAGGGTTGGGTCAGAGAGTGTGTGGGCGTGCACTTTGAGGGGCGTGTTATTCAGGGGTCTGACGGTTTCACGAACCGGCATATATTAAGTTATCTCGCACAACACTGCAAGCTAGAGAGAGAGATTAAAATTTTGATTAGTATGGTCGTGTGCACAGCATGCGCGTGTGCAAAGGTCAGTATTCTTGTGACCGACGTCGAGGTTGACTATTGGTGTCACAGTTCTAGATAATCATTGTTAACTTGCTTGAGACGATGCTTGAATTCGTGTAGTGCGGAATGCATGAGGCACCTTAGTCATTATGCTTTTGTTTGTCAGTGGGAACCCTATAATATTGGTAAGGCGTACGTAAAGAGAGTTCGACAAAGATAAAGGTTGGAGTTTGCGTCTGCTGAAGTAGTAGAAGTCTATAACAGAAAAATTCCCACAAGAAATAAAAGTTCAAAAAATATTTCATTAAAAAAAAATCCTTCATATTTAAAAATTATCATTTCAATATTCATACAATTTTAAAACTTCTAGTTTTATTTGACAAGTTCCCATTTAAAAATGACATTTTCCTTTTAACTATATCTATTTGTTTAAGATGGAATGAAAGTCTGGATAAGTTTATGAAGGTCTTAATTAAAATTTTATTTTACTACAACAAAAACCTTATAATATAAAATGATTTAACTTATTTGTGATTGAAAATCCTTATATAGAATAATAGTGTAATTAAAATATTTAATGAACTCATCATGACTTTCATTCCATCTCTATAATGCATTCCAAAGAAAAAAGGATACCTCATTCTTAGAAGGAATATTTTCATGTAAGACTGAAAATTTTAAAAGTGGAATTATTTTTTTTAAGATGGAATAAAAATTTGAAATTTAAAATGTAATTTAACTACAAAATGATTATTTAATTTTTGGAATTTTTTTTTTTTATTAGCCTTAGAAAGGGGCCAGAATGAACGGCGACACGACTTAAGCATGGTAGGTGGCATGCACGGTAACGACAATCGGAATCCAACCCATAACGTGCCAGCTAAGGGAGTTTGGTTACCGTGGGTTGGGTCGGTAATCTATGGTGCAATCATGGTGCAGATTGGCAGTTTTGAGCGGATGCAGATTCTGTTCATATGGAGTTTTGCACCTTCCAAGTTTGAACGTTAGCCTAGTAACTCTTTTGGTTACGACATCAAACTTCCAAATCGTAGGTGCAGGTAGCAAGACCAATAAGCGGTGATGAAGTGACAGGGCGTAATTGAAAAAAAAAACGATGGGTTGAAGGTCCCGCAAG